CTGAAAATAGCAGCAGCATTGCCAACCTCAGCCATATGAATGTCATGCGAGCCAGGTGCCAAGAATCATGAGGTATTTTATTTTTTTCAAGCTTGAGTTAAACAGCGAAACCTCTGGTCCTGGGTCTGTTTAATTCACCTGACTGTTCAATGGTTGAAAGTTTTGTGTTTTGAAGCTTGCCTCTTCCAAACTATGGGTTGGAAATCTCCTCCTTTCTCTTTTAGACGAAAAGGGAGCCTCTTCTGTGGCACAGCATGAGTTGGCTCCTCTCCCTTCAGGTACTTCTGGGCACCTCATCCCAAGGTACAGCCCCTGGGTGGTTTTCAGCTGTCAAAGCACCTGGCTCTCCCACTGCCCTCCACTAGTGCCCGGGGCATTATGGCCTGGCGCAAGGTTGCCTGGGGCAGGGGTGGCATTCACTTGGCATTCGCGTGAGCTTGGCACACGTCTGCATCCTGCTCCTTCAGGATTGCCGTGCTCAAAACCGGGTCAGCTCCCCACTCTTCTGGGACTGCCCTCCAAGAGGAGTAATGCAGAGAGGTAGATGTTCAGCCTCTCTCACAACATCTCTCTCGGAGTTGCAAAACATCAGTCTGCCCACTTTTTTATGGAGGGGTGGAGTGTAAGGGATGCTGAGATGTGCAAACTGGGGTTTTCCCCTCTGGCACACGTCGCTGGGTTTGGGCTGACAACTTTTCACCGTGCTCCCTTTTAAACGCTGCACTGCTCCACAAAGAAGTGAGATTTTTTTTTTTCTTTTTGCTGTCCAAATCCAAATTTTACAGACTGGGCCATCTGTCAATTCCCTCCTACGTTGTTCTGTTCGTATTAAATTGCAATGAAGGCCAGACTGAAGAAGGAATTAGGTCAGACAGGAGGTTTAGACTCCATTTTTGGGGAGATGTTTGTTGCCCAAGAGGCACCATGGTTTGGTTGGCTCAGCATAAGCTTGGATGCAAGGGATGCCTGAGCTGTCCTCTGAGATTTGGCAACTGGGCCTTTTAGCACATTGTGGCCTCTTGGCCCCCGACTCCCCAGCAGCTGGACAGAAATTGCCGACCCAGCTGATTCTGCAGCAGATCCTGAAAAAATCCTTTAGCAGTCTTGGGTGGGAGGGTGACTCTGCTCCAGACCTGCACTTAAGCTCCCTCCCAGCATACCACAGCCACTCGGAGAGGACCCTTTCTGTTGGACCTCTCTGCTGGCTGAGGGCTGCCCAGAGGTGTTTGGGGGTCCTTAGCCATGGGTCCTGCAGTGTGTGCTGCAAGGCAGGAAAATACAGGAGTTCCAAGGCAATGGCAGCATCCCGTGTATGGCAGCTTATGGTTGAGCTGGTTCCAGTGGCAGCCTTTCTTTGTGTGGGGTCCTGGGAATGCAGGGGAGAAGAGGGACATGGAGGATAGAGAGCAAAGCAGCCCCTCACCGTGGAAGGAGAGGCCAATAATGTGCACTGATGTCTGGTCTGAGCCTATTCTGCACTGAGAATGCTGTTCTCAGGTGTGGGTTATTCATAAGAGCTTCAGGTGTGATTCCCAGGATGGTACAGGGCATCTGTGCAACCAAGAAATTCCTCTTGCATCACCCACTTGCACACTGTATGGGGTCCAAGCCCTCCTTAGGAGGAATTTGGTGCTCAGGTTGTCAGACATCTGGCATGTCTTGCACTGTTATTCTCACTGCATCCTGAAGCCTTTGAGCTCTCCATGGGCACATGATGGGGAATGACAGCCAGTATGGCTGGTTCATCTTGCTTTGGCAAGAATGGAACTGTGGTGGGTGTAGTGTTTCTCCTAGCAGAGTCAGGGCCTTGTCCTTTAGGGAAGTGGCCCACTTCCCTCTAGCTGCCTTATTCCTGTTCCACTTCATGTAAGAGAGGTTTTCTAATAAAATCTGAAGGTTTTTCCAGCTGTTGGTGTGAATTTACTCCTGTCCCGCAGCTGAGGAGATTGTCCCTGTCATAATGCTCAGATTAGAAGCCACAAACTATGCTGTCCCACATTTCCGGTGGAGAATGAAGTTTTGGAGGGGGTCATAAGGCTTTGTCTCATCATGCTGAGTAGGATTTGGCCATGACAACTGAAGCCACATGCAACCTGTACAACTGGCACGGTGCTTGTGCCAGGTCATGGACTGCAGTGACCCAGCCGTGCCATGACACTCTCTTTTCAGGAGCAGCACCTGCTCTGGCAGCCTTGGTGAGTAGGGTGAGAGCTCTCCTGCATGGATGCTGCTCATCCCTGCTAAGGAGGGGCAGGAGGGTGGGAGGAATCAACTGAAAGGTCATCAGGACATGCTGAGCTGATGGTGGCACTCTGGTAGCCTGTCTAGCCTTTGGGTGAATCCTGGGGGCTTTTCCTCTGCAGGGTCAGTAGGGCCAAAGTGAACGGGAAGGGCTTACAAGGTTGGGTTGCGGCTCCATCACACTGGAGAGAAAGTGCAGCACTGGGTAGTAAATAAAGATGCTTTTTGCTTTTCTGCCTGGTTTCCCATTACATGGCTACTGGAGAGAGCAGGGAGACGCCAAGGTGAAGGCTGTGGAAAGGGCTGGTGGTTGATGAGTGGGCAAAGGTGGACTCCATTGCCTCGCATACCTCCACCTTAGCCTTGCTCTGGATGACAATACTGGGGCCATCCCTGTCCTCATGGCTGCAGGGGGTTTTCCTGGCCAGAGTTATGGGGGGTGTGGGCTCCCACAAAGAGCTTGCAGTAGAGGCAGGGAAGGCTGCCAGGGGTTGCCTTGTGCTTGCGATGCAGCTTGCGCAGGAGTGGGTATTTTCCGAAGAGCACAAGTGCTTTTCCACAGATGGTATCAGGTCTCCCCAGCATCAGATATCACCCTGCTGACAAAATCTTACTCTCCCCTTGCTTCAGAGCATCTCACCCTTTTCTTTAGACTGAGTGTGGGGGAAAAATTGGTGTTTGTCACCTGTGCCACCAAGCAGACCCTTCTGTGGGGGCTGGCTCTGGCTTGGGTGAGGCCAACATGCAGCTTGCTCATTAGCCACCGTGCTTACAGTCAGTGTGAGCCTAATTGGGGACAGCGTACTATGTGGGTGTCCTGAAGTCTCACATCAGTGGCTTCAATAGCAGTACTGTCTGGTACACATCTGTCCCCCCAGCAATGAGCTGCTGGCAATACCTGTGTCCTGAGGACATCAACAGTCAGGAGCTGCATGTAAATAAGGAGGAAAAAGGGGAAAAAAAAAAAGGAAAGGGAGCAGGATTATTGGTCTTTTGTCAGTTCGAGATCTGGCTGCCAACGCTGCCACACCAGAGGCATGATTCCAACAGCAAAGATGATGCTGTAGTCATGCTGGGGAGGCCCAGTAAACACCTGTTGGCTACTTGACAAAAAAAAATCAAGGTGAAAAGGTGTCGGTGGCAAAACACTGCATTTGGCAGCATGGTGCCACAGCTCGGTGGCATCCCTCTGCTCCTGCTGTAATATAGAACAAAGCCCTGCAGTGTGCTGAAGGGACCATTGCTACTGGAAAAGCTGGTCCTGGTCCCATCAGGCCTGCTGTCTTTCTTGTCCAGTGCCCTGGAGGGATTTTTCCAGCCTTCCTGCTCTGCCAGTGCAGGCTGAGCAATACTATGGGCATAGAAACTCACGCAGGGGGGAATGCCCCCTGCAGCCCACCCAGACCTTGCAACCTCTGTTTTGACTTTTCTTGTTGTTGATCCCTCGCTGCTCTGAAGAGCTCATGACTTGTAAACATGACGCATCTGCGACATCCGAGCTAGTAAAACTTTGTAGCAAGGGTGGCTTTATTGCTGGCAGGACCATAGCAAGGCCTCGGGGGAGCTGGGCTAATTTCCTGGCTGAGCTGCAGACTTCCCCTGTGACCTTGGGCAAGTCATTTAATCTATCCTGGGCTTCGGCTCCATCTCTGAGCATCCCAGGGGGGTGAGGTAATATTCATTAACTGATATTATTCTCGAGTTGCTCAGATGCTATGGTGATGAAAGCTGGATGTGAAACCCAGCATCTTGGTTGCATGTTAGCAGGGAGAAGGGATGCTCTGCTTGAGATTTAGGGTTGCCACACACCAGCTGCTATTTTGACATACTTCTTTTAATTTTGAGCTGACCTGTCTGGTTGTCCTCCTTATTTGGCTGTATGTATACCATGAGGCTCATCATTGAGGGATATAGTGCCTTGATCCACGCATGTGTTTTGCCCCATCCAGTGAAGCAACAATACCCTTGATTTACACCCGCAGAAGATGATATGGAGGTAAAGCTGTTTGCTGGAGCCAAGTCAGGGGAAATATTTGGGTTAGTTAGCAAATATCCAGGGAGTTTCTGTTTTAATGTGCTGCACCATGTGATACCTTCTTGGCCCTCTTTGGTGATGCCTCAGGTGTGTTTCCCATGGGACCACATTGTTCCTGAGGAGTGTCTTCTCAGTCCCAACTCTCATCAGCAAACATGGCTTGTGCAGTCAGCCCCTCAATTGCCTGAGCCTCAGCTGCATGAGACTCTCATATGCCCAGGACAAAGGCTGCTGTTCCCAGATTTCCTCAAAAGCAACTCTAGTGCAGGTTGAAACCTCACTTCTTTCTGCTTTGGGGGGGCATGTTTTCAGGTAGGATGTGATAACCTCTCATCAGAAGTGGAAAAAAAGAAAATATCTCCTGATGATAATTTGAATGAATTCCCGTGTGTAAGGGGGAAAAAAATAAAAAATTACGATGCTGAAAGAACAGGGGAAATAAAAGCCTTTTAGAGAGGTAGGCTGAAGTGGGATTTTCCAATGGAAAAACTGCTTCAATGCAAACCTTGTCTGACCAGAGCAACTGCCCAGTGGGTCGAGCATAGGGAGCCAGCTTCACACCAACAGCTGTCTGAGTGCTGCTAGCCCTTCCCTGCAGCATCCTGACATGTCATGGCATCAAACACTTGGCATGCTGTGGGCAGGGGGCATTGCCTGGGGGAAGTGGCAGAGCGGGGTCTCTCTCGCGGTGTTAACACTGTGCCTCTGTCCCCAGGTGCAGAGGATGTGTGCTGCGAGGCAGATGCTGCTGCTGCTGCTGGCTTTCCTGGCCTATGCACTGGATTCAGCTGCTGCGTACGGCACGGCGGAGACCCTCTGCGGTGGAGAGCTGGTGGACACGCTGCAGTTCGTCTGCGGGGACAGGGGCTTCTACTTCAGTAAGTGCTGGGCAGCTGCTGGCTGTGGGCAGGATGATGCCCCCACCCAATGCCTTGCTTCTGCAGAGCTGGGCTGGGAGGGAAAGGAGGGATTTAGCAGCCTGGTGCTTTTCAAGATTCCTTGTGCATGGTGGTAGGCCAGAAGAGGAGCAAGGAAAGGGTCATGCTCAGGGTGACATGCACTCACCTCGTGCCGATTTTGGGCTAGTTCCATGAGGAAACTGGGTCCTGAATATAATGCTCAGGAAAGTTGAATATTGCTGGGGAGCCATAGGTGGTTGGCTCACCAGCGGTGTGGACAAGTCATTACAATAATGAGGATGTCTGCAGCCAGCTCTCTGCTGGGCTTGGGTCCTGGCTTATTTTGAAACCTTACTGCCTAAGTGCTGCATCCTGACAGCAAGCAGGGAGCTGGGTGCTTCCCCTTTTTGAGCAGGCTTTGCTTGGGTGTAACAACACCTTCAAGGCTGCTCCCAAAACACACTTTGTGACCTCCTGGCTACCTGCTGGAGAACTTGTTGCTGAAGAGTGGTGTCTTACACTTTTCCAGCACAGCTAGTAAAAAAAAATAAATGCAGCGTTGCTGTTGTCTGCAGAGTGCATATGGCTTCAGGCCAGCTGGCTGGAGCAGGCTTTCCACCAGGATGCTTTGGGTGTTTGGACCATTGGTATTAGCAGTACAATGGCTTAGCTGGTAAATAGAGAGGATGAGGAGTAAACCAGTAGCAATGGATGCTCAGTAATCTGTGCGCAAAGGTGCCTCAAGTGTGATGCCTCATTTTGGTGTTTCGGACCCCTGCCCTGCTCGGGAGAGGGAAGACCTTGCATGTTGCTGGCTGCTGAGGACTGAACCACAGAGGGACTGACTACAGGAAAGATGTAAAGCCAAATGGGGAGGGAGGAGATGGAGATGCCAGCTGCACATGGATGTTTTATCAGACTTGGCTGGTGCTGCCTGCTGAGCTTGGGCAGGGAGAGGTGCAGGGATCTCACACCCAGCAGGGTTTGGGCTGTGTAAATTTGGGCAAGTGGGTACAAGACTTTGCAGCTAGCTGGGGGTGATCACCTTGCCCCATCCCAGCTGAGCAACAGGATGTTTTCATGGCTCTCTGGGTGTTGTGGCACTTTTGGGGTGCCCTGAGTGCAGTTTCTCTGATCAAGCCAGGTGGTGAGGGTTTGTCCGTCCTCTTTTCATCTCCCTCTTCTGCCTTCCCTCTGCCAATGAGCCCTGTGTTGGTGCTCAGCTGAGGTGGCAGGTCTGGGGCTGGCATGGCAAGGAGGCAAGCTTCTCTCCCGCTCTCACACCTCTTCCTTGCTCTCTATATGTAGAGGAGCATCCATCTCCCTCCTGTGGTTTCTCTTCCCTCCTCCCCCTCTCTGGGGATGAAAGGGAATCAGGCTTTTGTTTTACGGACAAACTGACCTCCTTTCACCTCAAATAACCCAGCTGCCCAGGCCAAAATAAAAACACTTTTGAAGGCAGACAAGTTGCTTGGTGCCAAATGGCTAGTCTGGTGCTTGCAAGGGGATTCTTGTTGGGTTCTGGTTTTTCCTTTCCTGTCCCTCCTCGCTTCACCTTTTAAAATATTTCTGGAGAGCCCAGTTGCTGAGGATGAGGCAAAGTCCCCCCAGTTCAAAATTTTAACCACCTCAGCATCTGACCAGCCTATGCCATGCAGGGCTGAAGGTGTTTGGGCATTGTCTCTGTTCGATGAAGGGTTTGGACATCCCCATCGCCCCTAATTTCTTCCCTTCTACCTCCATGATGGAGGCCTCATAAATGATTAATTCTCTTGACCAAAAGCATCTTCACTCCTAAACCCACATGGCTATACTATTCACATTGTGTAGGCTCAATAGGACACAGTTATGTTGCACAGTCATGGGTTTACATCCTGAAACCAGGCCTAGGTTGTCATGAGCACCTCACAGCATGGGATGTATGACCTGATGAGCAGACCGTGCTAATGCACTCATTCATATGGGAAGTGAATGACGGGCAGCCTTGTCCTGCGGGTCCACATGGGCTCTGCTTGCTGAATAAGGTTTGTCAAAGACTGGTAATCTTGGAAAAAACAGAAATGGTATGAAAATGGTATGAAAATCCATTATCCTTTTTTGCATCAGTTACTGTACTTAAATATAAGTACTTATGATGCTCTGCATTCTTGCAAGAGCGCACTTTGCTAGTGAAGCTAGTTCTGAAATACAGTGCTCTTTGCATCAGTGCAAGGGGATGCAGTGTACTGATGGTCTTTCATCCCCTGGGTGCCTGGCCATGGGGAGATATGCAACCTAGACTGAGGAGGGTGCACCCCTGATAACTGGGATGCCCATCTGTTCACTGGCATTAGGAGGGAGTCCCAGCCCCTAGGTGTCCTGGGAGGCGTTGCAGCTGGCAGGTGCTTGGGGCTGAGGATGTTGAAGCTGCCTTCAAGAGGTGGGGCTGCAAAAGAGCTGCACCAGGAGCCAGCAGCACTAGGGTTACCCAGACACAGGACGCAGGGTGAGCGTGGTGATGTGCATCATGCCAGTCCTGCATCGTATCCCAGCCGTGCCTGGGCAAGCTACAGCTGGAGCTGCGCATGCTTTGCTCTCCACCAGTGATGCCTCCAGTCTGTGACTTTTAAGGCTTTTGGGTTTGCCTGCAGTTGCTGTCAAGAAGATGGCATCCTGCAACAGGGTTTGGACCCTTGTCCCTGCTCCCCAGCACCCACCCAGGGACAGCAGCACAGCCCACAGAGGGATGCTGCGTGCAGCCTGGAGTGAAAAAGCAGGGCAGGTCGAGAGGAGTCCTCGGCTGTGAAGTTGCTGTCATGCAGCACTGGCAGGCAGGGAGAAGGGGCTGCAGGGGGAGAGGCGGCCGACTTCTCTGTAAACAACAGCTCCTGTTTCCTCCTTTCCAACAGCTGATAAGAATTTAGCTCTTTGCAGCCGCTTGTGCTGACGGGGCACATTCTTGCGCACCCGCCGCTCCTCCGAATAATACTAGGAAAAAGCAGGGGGGAAAGTGCGGTGCTGTGGTGGGGGAGGGCCAGGCCAGGGGCACTGGGACGGGGCCCGGTACTGCACAAAGGCCCCCTTGTTGCTCCCAACATTCCTGCGACAGGGGCACAGGGACTGTTTACACCCAAAGTCCCCTTCCACTCGGCTGACCGCCTGATTGACCGGAGGAGAGGGGACCCAGCCAGGGTGGCACCAGCACCACGCATCCCTCCCCACAGCATCCATCTGGCCCCGGTGAGAGTGGAGAGTCCAGAGCAGCAGGGTGTTGGTGCTAGGGAAGAGACCCTCCTGTCTCCCATGGCTGTGGCAGTGTCACTGCCTCTGGCACGGTGGCATAGCTGAGCTGCAGGTATGTGGCCTCTGGGTTCTCCCAGAAGCAGGTTTGGCTTTGTATCGCTTCCAGGATGTCCAGCTCTCCCTGTCAGGATAGTCCACTGCCAGGCAGGAATAACCCCGGGCAGCTGGAGAGCTCTGCACCACCGTGCTTTGCACCCCTGCCTTTGCATCACTGGACTTTGCATCTCAGGGCTCATCGCCTTGGCAGCATTGTAGGAGGTTTTGGTGAAGCTCAGTTTTGGGAAGAGAGAGCCTAGCCATTCATTGAAGGGCGAGAGGAAGCAAGTTTGCTAGGGAGGAAGCGGTCATTGCTGCTATGGGAAGTGGCTCGCGTGCCCCAGTGGTGCCACAGCCTGCTGC